AGATTCTATATAGGACTATTAGAACTAGTAAATTCTAAAACGCTACTATAGGAAATATTCTATTATAAACTTAAAGAAGAAGATAAATAGACAGTTAAGAGAATTATCTTATACTAAATAAAAAATTATAAAACTAAATACTTAGTAAAATAGTTAGGATACCTAGATAGCGAGAATATATAGGAACTAGATTCTAATCTCTCTAACTATAAATAAAAAATTTAAAAATATTAATAATAATAATAAGACTTAAATAAACGATAAAAAAATTGTAACTAAACTAAGTCTTCTAATACTAGAAGACATGGTTAAGCTACTAATAAAATAATAAGTAAAATATAATATTTACTAAGAAAAATAATAGTAGGCACTTTAACTACTACGAGAGATAGGTATGTTACTACTAGAACTAGAAGTAACAAAGCTTAAATTAAGAGAATCTTAATAATCTAGAAATACATCTACGAAGGCACTCCAAGTACTAGAAGATAAGTTAACTAAAAGATTAGACCTATTAAATACTATAACGCCTTTCTACTCTAACTCTTTAAGCTTATAACTCTCTATAGTAATTACCTTCTTAGGTTACTTCTCTAATAAATCTATTTATAGCTATAACTACTACTCTTAAGTATAATATATTTTTAACTTTATTAGAGCTGCCTTATAAACTTTTCTTATAGTATTCTACGCCTTATAACTTTCTTTAATATAAGTTTCTAACTTTTTCTTTTTAGTAGTAAGACGCTTAAACTCTAACTTAGTAACTTAGACGTTATATCGCTAGATACGATAAAGGCACTTACTAGACTTTCTAAAGTAGATATATACCTTTTATACCTGCTTATTCTTCTTATAAGTAAAATACTTCTAAACTACATTTTTTTAAAACAATAAATAAACTTAGCAAGATGAAAATAATAAATAAGACTAAATAAAAATTATTATTTAAGTATAATGAAGAAATTAAGTAGATAATAAGACTCTATAACGTAGGGTAAGTCTAGTTATAGCGCGCTACTACGCTAATACCTAATTAAGTTAGCGTGATAAATACTTTACTCTTAGAATATAGTACTTATCAAACTAAGCCCGTTATAGATAGAAGTACCTATACTTAAGCATTCTTAGAAACTAATCGTATCTAGGAATCTTGTATTCTTAGAAATAAAACGCTTTTGAAAACTTTATACTTTTAAGAATATAGCGCTTATATAAACGCTACGTTAACACTAATCTCATATTTATAATAATCTATTTCTCTTACTAGTAATTTATTTTTAGGAATATCTTACTTATAGTAACTATAAAATTATAGTAATATACTTCTCTAGAAAACCTTAGGCTATATATTACTTTAAGAATTAGTTATAAAAAAAAGAATAGTATTATAATTAGGCTTAGAATATAGAGAATATTTCGCTATTATATTTACTTGGTAAGTAATTTATAAAACGGCGAAACTATAGTAAGAAATAGAGATACTTATTTAAAGCTAGCATATTACGTAATGTATAAGATAATTAGTAATTAGTATATCTTAATATGCCCCACCAGTAAGCTGGCCACACTAGTAAGCTAGCCACCCCACTAGACTTAACGCAACGTTCTGCGCAATTAAGCCACAACAATAAGAGATAATATAGTTATATTCTACTATAAGGTAGATTATTACTATCTATATTAAGTCCGTGTATAGCCTTAAGTATAGCACTTCGTACACGTTAGCGGCGCGCGCTAACATCGCTCACCAGCCTAGCTCTAGCTAGCCTCTATAACCATCCTTTCTGCCTCTATAGTAAGCTGCTAAATCTACTACACCTAGAGCACTCTACTAGAAGCAATATATTAACGTTGTTAATGCTACTTTTATTATTAACACTAATTTTCTATATATAGCTTCTTATTCTCTTCTATAAGTATTGTTACTAATTATATTATAAGTTAAGCGCTTTTCGTAAGCTAGCGTATCACAATACTTATTAGACTCTCTAGCTGCCGGCCAAGTCGCTCTTAGAGATAGCGTACCTACTACTAAAGCTACTCTACTATACGTAGTATTTCTATCTGCGCTACTACCTGCGTCTGCGCTACTATCTATAGTAAAGACGGTATTCCAGCTACTATAAGCGACGATAGAACACGCTCTAGACAGAGAGAGACAAGACTTATCGCCTAAAAGCCTACCTAGATATTCTACTACGTGAAAACTATCAGCCAGATCCGTATATAGGCTGTAAGAAAGTCTATCTTATTAACGTAGTAGAGGCCTTAGCGGGCGAGCTTCTCTACCTCACGCCCATACGCGCGCTTAAGTGGGGAGAAGTAGCTTATATTAAGTAACTATAGGAGGTGCAACGTATAAGGCGGTATATAGAGAGTAATAATCTTATTCTCTATATAGAACTAGTTAAACTCTAGCGTAGCGTAGCTACTATAGCTGTCTAGAATAAGTAGCTAATAGACTCTAGCTGTACAAGCAGCTATATACTAGTTAAAGTGCTTTACCTACTCTACGCTAAGCTAATTAGTTATCTATCTATTATCTAATACTACGACAGTCTAGTTTAATAGGAGGCCTTAATACTAGCTGCTCTAGTAAGCCTTACTAGATAGGATTATAAAAAGTAGGAGAGACTAGCTAGATGCGTTAACGCACTTAATTACTATTACCTACTTATAATTACCTAGCTGTACGACGACTACTTAACTAATTCTATTAGCGCTAGCTATAACTTTTAACGTTACAGCGACGCCTATCGCGAACCTAGTCTCGTTAAAGTTATAGATATCCTAGTCTAAGACGCTATATAATTAGCGCGTCTCCTCTACTAGTTTAAACTACGCTATAATTGCGATTAGATCCTCGTAGGAGGCGCGCTAACTATTAAGCCTTCTACTCTACTTTATCTAAAGCTCTAGCTAGTTCTATATAAAGCGCGACACCTAGTTCTTACTAATAGGTGCTAGAGGTGGATCTTAGCCGCGCGCAGCGAGTAGAGCGTCTGCTATTCGTCGTACGTTAATAATATAAGACGGAAAACCGCGTTAGTTAAGGTCTAGGATCCACTATATAAGAGACTACTCGTTAATAGGTAGTAGCTTACGCCTAGTAGATAGAATCTCTAATCGTGGTTAAATACCCTAGAGACGTATCTAAAGAGTTAATTTTAGTACGTTATACGCTGCTGTAAGTGCGCGTACTAATTATTTTAGATTATTACAATAGAAGGCTGTAACGGCGCAGGCAAGACTACTCGGATCAGTATCGGCGGTAGTGTCACTCAGAGGCATATGGGAGTGCGTGGGACATCAAACGAGCCTTAATTCGAATAGACACCTATAGGCCTTGTACGAAAGGATATCAAAAATCTATCGAGCTACGGTATGGAGAAGGTGGGGTTTTATATCAGCAGATCTGCCCTCGGCTAGTGCGTGCCCATGTTCGGATCCCTTTCGGATGTTAGTTCAGTGTGTACTCGAACCGTTACAGGTTTTGTGGGGCGGCCAGCTTACTATTCCGGCTAGCTTACTAATCCCCCACGTTATATTTAGACTTATATTAAAAATGTTTAAATTTATAGCGCGAAATATAGCGCTAAAGTTAGAAGATTTATTTGCTCTACGTTTAAGAGTATATATAACCTTCCTAGTACTGACTAATTATTTATATAAGACTGCTATCTTAAACGCTAATAATTTCTCTATTTAACGATTAATATTTTATTAGTATCGCGCCAATACCTATTGAGTAATGTATGTTTAAAAAGTACAACTTTTTAGAGTTCTGTTTTTTAATTACCCCACTGTAATATTTCCTTCGCTTAAGCTCTAAAATTTAAAGAGCTAATATACCTACTATAGGTGCTTATAACTATTATTTTTCTTAAGGTATTAAGTATTTTATTATATAGAGGGTTAAGAAAGAATCCTGGAAGCGCCTCTATATAGATCTGGACAGGTTACGGGTAGAACGAGAAGCTGAGATGAAGACGCTTCTGGAACAACTTTAATAGCAGAAGAAAAGAGTCGCGGCAACTAAAGAAGAAAACAACTAGTTTATAGCTAGTAATTAAAACAACACGATAGAATGCCAAAACAAAATGCGCGCGATAAAAGAAAGTAGGCCGAAGAATAGAGAAGACTTCGAACGTCCTCGTAGCTATAGCGAAGAAGAGAAACGGTAAGCACTAGGTTAGCGTTTAATTTTAAACATTTAATTAACCTAGCCTAGGTGTCGAGATAGATATTAGTGAGTGGCTTCGAACCTTCTGTCACGATATGTGTGTAAGGGCTTAATCTATCTTGAAACACTTGATGTTATTCTAGCATGTGCGTACTGTAGCTAACAAAAACAGTACCTAAGATTCGTAAGACTATTAAGGAGCTTGCTAGGATGGGTATGGTTGCGGCGGGCGTTTTTGGTGTTCTCACTAGCAATCCTTTGTTGGCTGCACTTCTCGTGTAATTCAGTTCGTCGTAAAATTCATAATCTTTTCAGATTACCAAAGTATACGGCAGATTACGCAATATTTATATTCACTAACTCCCGCGATGAAGCTATAGTATGCGAGACCTATAAACTATTAAATTTCAACAGCAAGCGGATAAATCCCTTATGCCCAGCACTAAGAAAGATCTACTGCCACTCTAGCGCAGAGATCCCTCTGCTCCCTCAACACCCTCGGGTCATCAGAACACTCAACACTCAGGCATTTGTGTACGACTTGCTCATATATGTCGCCACAGTAAATCTTTCAAAGGCACACTTCCTCTTCTATAATCCTCCTACGCATTTCATACGGATCGAAATCGATGAACTTTTCCTTCTATAGTCAATTGCACAGGCCGATTTCAAGCAACAGCATGCCCAGCGAGTACACATCAATAGCATGACGATATTCAACTAATAGGTCTCTGAGCTTTGCTAGGTGGTCATACAAGTCGACCGACGCATTACGATGCAACCTACATTTCATCCTCCTCCCTTTTAGTTATGTCTACTCCCTACCACTTTCCGAATAGCTACGAGACGATCTTCCAGAGTAGTTCGCTCGATTTTTGAATCGCTCTCTACTGTCTAGGTCGTCATCATACATCTCTAATTTAGCGTGTCCGCCGTGTTGTGCGTCGTGGTCCTGCGGCTCTAGGTCGGCTTGTTTACTGTGGTCTAGAACTCCATCTCGCATACCTAGGTTGCCTAGTCTAGAAAAGTCGTATCCGACCAGATATGGATCATCAATATCTAAATCTCTTAGTTAATAGCGGGCTAGTTCCTTGCCGTCTTTGGGGAAAAACACTACGGACTCTAACCGAATGTTCTTGTGTAGCAACCCGCTGGCATGTAGCAGCGCAGCACTTGCTACGAGTTTCTTTGCTAGCTTGAACATTTGACTCAACAACAGGATGCGCCAATGAGGCGACAAGTAGGTGATTGGTGCTCTGATGGCGATATCTTCAATTGGAAGCTTGGGCTTCGCCTTTCCCAAGTTGCCAGGCAGCCTATAAACATAGCCAATCGTAGATTCTTTGTCAGATTGCGTGAGACCAATGAATTCCAGAGCGAGTAACTGCTTTGCCGGTTGGATGTTGCGAAGAAGTTTTCCGAGCTGCAAAATGTCTTTTTTGGGAGGAAAGCGATCCTCGGTGTCCTTCTCTTCACTGGCATATCTCTTCCTCTCCACGTAGACGACTTGCTTCCGTTTCTTCCAAACAGCCAGTTTCTGACCACATCCGTAGAACGCGAGATCGTTTTCCGGTGTGTTTATCAGTTTTTGTTCTTGCTGCTCCGTCAGTGGGTTTTGTTCAAGCTCCTTCGTCTTCGCTTTGATATGTGCTATGTCGGCGAGAATTCTGATCCCTTTTTGTGAAGGCCCTATCTCCTCCGCACGATTTGCTTCGTTGGCCTTTCTCGCAGTTCATCTGAGGGTAAGCCGGCTCTCGCGTGACGCAAGGTAGTCGACCGGGAGATTCAAGTTCATGGCTTCGACGGCTTCATCAGGGCACAACATGTACAAAGTATCGTTGTGTGATTTGAGGTCTGCAATCATTGCCTTGAACTTTTCCCGATCCTCTAGCGACCATACACAATTCTTTTTGTATCGTCGCATACGGCCACGAACTTCTTCCACTTTTACCCGATTCGTTTCAGGTATGAGTTCCGGGGCTACCCTCCTCGTATTATGATCGTGGGATTCGAAAAAGCCCTATGTCATACAGTTAGCAACCTCCACAGTGTGTTATAGGATGTGGAATATGTCTTACTTTCTCGATCTTGATGCCATATGTGTTCAGCAACCTCTCATGGTCTGAGAGCAAATCGGCAATTGCGAAAAGCGCATTCAGTATACCTTTCGCTTTGTACCTGTTCTTTCCAAGGTATTTCTCCCGTTTTTGGTTCGCCTCCGCCTTCCTTTCTCCATGTGCAAGCGAGTGGCGCAGAATATTCCAGTAGAAGCCCCATGACTTCAATATGGACTCCTGAATCGCCAGGTTACGGGTGTGGAAGAAGGATCCTTTTCCTGCATTGTTGATGTTATTGAAGAAGATATAGCAGTCCCGACAAGTAGAATATAAAGACACTACGCTCCAGACAAGCCCTGAGACTTCTGCCATCTCGCCTTTATCAGAGACTGCCGAAAGATGAAGGTAAGTAAAAGACTTGTGCAAAATAAGAAGTGGTTAGGTAAGTTGAAGCACGAAGTAGTGTGAACAAGCCGGTAACGCTGAATAGCCTGAGGTTAATGAGAGGCCACAATGGCAGTGACCAGCTTCGAACAAGCTATACTGAGAGATGAAGAGTTATGTAAGACAATCAAAGCGGGGTCATTCAGCTGCATCGTTAGCCGGCATGGAGTGTTCAGACTCTCCACATTCTTCGTGCGACTGAAAACTTCCAGATTGCTTTTCCCACTTCAGCTAGCAAATAGTCGCACTGACTTCACCCAGCGCTAAGGCGAACAATAATCCAGACTCCATCTTGGTTGGGTGATGACATGGGTCTTGCCGATATTGGAGTTGACACAGGTGAGTTTGCGAGTTCATGTCGACGCTGCAACGTTCATCCGTAACTATTTATATTTTCAGTTTCTCTGTCCTAGTAGTGAACAGCAACGTTTTGGGTACAATCACGATGATTCCGCCGCCTTAGGAACTGCAGTCTTAAAGACCCACCCAAACGTCGTGTCAAGGATGGCTTCTCATAGCTAGCCAGCTTGATAGTTGTCGTCATATCCGCGAAGGCTTTGTTACTCTGGTTTGAGTGATTATTCGAGGCTCAGCACTTAAAACGCTATATTGAGAGCAACCATTGAATGGAGGAAATTATTAGAGGTTTTATCGAAGAGTTCAAAAGCTATATAGAAGAGGAGAATAACCTAAAGCTCACCATTAGATCATTATCTCTTTCAATGCAGATATTTATAGGAGCTGACGAAACCCTAGAGCAAACTAAACAAAGGGCTGATACCACTTGAGTCTGCTCGGTTCGCACTAATCCACATATGACTGAACAGGTTCTGCGGTTGCAACAAGGAACTCAACCAAATCGAGCAAGAAATGTCAACAGCCGTGCTCTCTGTTAGAAAACCATCACTAATTTGTTACTAGACATTATTACTAAAAGTCTTGTTTTTCAAGTTTGCTTTTTGCGAAGGGAGTGATATAACGCACCTAGGCTAGTGACCTCGCAGCGGAAGTTCCCACAAGCGGCCTTAAGGCAGTGCAAGCAACACAAAACTGATACAGACAACTAACCAAGCCACTGCCATAGCACGGTGGCATTCGCCGATAGTGAGAAGATAGGTACCGATACACATCAAAGCACGCAAGGATTAGAATAACATATTACATGCTCAATGTACTGATGTTGAATGTGGGTGTGCGTTTTACCCTAGTGAATCGTTTCCAAATAACATAGTGAGGCAGTTCCCCCTTATACCACTGAAGTCATAGTTTTGCGTCATAGGATTCTAGTTGAGGAACGGCGCCACTTAATCGATCAGGGGAACATGTGGCATATGCTACTATATAGTATACAAGTGCGGTAAGAAGAATGACATATAGGCATTCTCGACGTTTCGTAAGGACTACGGTGTTAACACAAAACGGCGTGCCCAGACAGTAATAGGTCGTTAACACATACGGCGGCACATTCTATATCACAGACGTGTATGCAAGCACGGCAGACAGCAACAAAAGCTCATCGTCCAGATCTCTTCAGGTATAGCGGTGCAGATCTGAGGTTCCATCGCGGAGATCTAATCGAAAGCTGCCGGCATTAACGTCATAGCGTAGCTGGACGCTTAATTTCCTGCTTCTCCTAGCTCGCCCAAGTGCCGATCTGGCTTAGGAGCGCAAAGAGCTTATATTCATGCCGAGTCGCCTCGCTCAGGACCCTGCTTTTATCTAACATCATCCTTTGCATGCAATCTACTGTTTCCTACCACTTTGGTACATTTTATTTCCCACCAAACGCATACCCCACTTCAAACGGACTGAATCGAATTAGAGCTGCGTGAAGCTCACGATACTTCAACGCTTCACGATCGCAGCCCGGCCCCTCGTTAACATATACAAGTAATGTCTTAATATCCTAATACAACACACACACAATGTCGTCGCCTACTTCCGCCACGAGTAGAACACCTTCGCGCACGTTCACGAATCGATGCAGCGACGACAATGCTATCCCACAGGAAGAAAACTTAGAGGTAAACCGTAAGAAGCTTTATAGCAGAACATATTATTAATAATACATAATACAGATTACTAGGCTATTTTCAGACAGACTATAGACTTAGGAATACGCTATTAGCTATCTTGAAGACTATATTGCTACGACTAAAAAGACGAACTACCTATATAGAAAGAAGGGTTAAAGAGTTCTAAAGACAAACATAGTCTCAATACCTCTTCTATGCATGTACTAATATAAATCAGATAGTTAAATATCCTATATAGAAGAGTTAGTACGTTAAATAACTACTGAGTAGTATTAGAGATATTGTTAAGAATATGTAGTTAGATATGTACGTGCGATACTCTATAGATTGAGAGTAGAGCGCGACTAATAGACCTAGAGTATATTCTACAAGTACTTTAAGATAGCTAAAGAGCTAAATAATATTACTCTACTTAGTTTTATGAGCCTATATATTAAGATTAATAATAAGAATTAGAAGCTTACAAAGAGTTCTAGTATAAGTACTAAGATAGTGAATAAAATCCCTTATAACTAGTCCTAGAGGTGTAAAAAGCTTTTGAGTTACATATAAAGTTCGTATCACTAAGAAAAAGGATCTAGCTTAGTAGTGTGTCCAACTTGGTAGCATTTTACGTGACTATTTTTATTATGCTATAATAGTCGTGTAATTATTGTAAAGCTAAGAGGGTCTTAATAGAGTGGTAATCTCGCTATACTAGGAATACCACTATACAGACTCGTCATAGATTAGCTTTAGTATAGGAAGTTTAAGTAGTGCGTTGTGTTACACGGGGTAAGGGTCTATACTTCTCTATCCTGGTCCGCACTAAGGCAGGTGAGTATTACGTTAGTGTTCCGTGAGGCTTGTCTGGCGATGCAGTGGAGTTGGCGTGCTTAAGGAGGGTTTGACAAGACTAATCTATTTGATAGACTAACTTGTGACAATCTTGTTAAGTAAAGATACTAGTAAGAAAGTACAATTTGAGTTGACCACAACGAATGTAATAATGAAATCCAACCCATTCTTATATCCGTTGCCTTTGGTCCTGCCATCCCTTACTTCCCTGCCATCCCTGGGATGGTTGTGATGTTGGGGATGGCTGCCATCCCAAGGCGTCCTGCCATCCCTCGGATGGTTGCCCTTGGCGGGATGGCACATCACGTGACCTAGCCCCGCGATGATCATTACCTTCTGACGTGGACGTCCATACGGCCTTCA